AAACGTAACCGAGTTGGACAGGAACTAAGCTGCCGTTCTACCGAGCTGGTGAGTAAAATTTAGTAGCTACATATACGCATATTGTTAAAATTACATGGGTTTGAGTTTAGAATGTTGCAAGAGTGTGGGATATAGGGTCCCTAATTTGTGGATTTTCACTTATTGCACGGGGGGTGTCTGGAACGTAACCTCCGCGATAATTGAGGGACTAGTGCATCTCATTTATTCTGGGTCTCCCAGTAAAACCGATGAGCTAAATATGAAAAAACTGCGGCAGGTTAATGTCTCTCAGGTTTAGTTGGTCATCAAAGATGTACATTTTGACCCTTTAAGGTTAAACTTTAAAATGTTCGTTGCCATAATCTAAATTATTTTGTTTTATGTCTGAGGACCTTTGGTGCCGGACAAAGAATGGCCAAGAGCCTTTTAGATTCTTGGGTTGTATTTTATCCTCGTGTGTAATTTACTAAATCAGATAGCACAAGAACATTCGAATCGAAAATACAATCAGACTTGTGTCGTTACGTCCCTGATAAAGAAATCAACATCAAACTAAGTTTTCTTCCTGATTATCACAGTGAGGCAGATGTTTATGTCTAATTATAAATAACAACACGGGGTGACTGAAGGGTCACACTCATCCTGAATATTTGAAGGCACGCTGGATTAAAGCTGCAGAATAATAACCCACAGCCAGCTGAGTTATCAGGCTCTTGCACATTAATGTGGGATTACATTAACCAGATGTGTGAGCTCTGTGGGTCTGAGCGTGTTTGAGTGGTTCTGCTCATGTTTATGTGTCACTGATCTGCACCAACGTTTGTCTCTGTGTGTGTTTGTCCAATTTCCACTCAAATTAATGGAGCCTCTTTACAGGCCTTCTGCTGGAGTGGCACTGAATTACTTGGTGCTTCACTCTCGCACCTGGGACCCATCCAGTGTTACAGCAATAGCTAGCTGCTAACGTGGGACGCATTTACTCCAACTGTACTGTCAGCATTACACACACCAGACATTTTCCAGCAAAAAGCAGTCAGATCAAAGCAAATCTCAGATCAATCTGACAACAAGTCCATTTACAGAAGTCATCAAGCATCAAACTGGACAACCTGAAGCTTTTCTTTAAGAGATACACAATACTGCACATCCTGTCTTCTTCTTCTGCTGTTGTAAATAGTCAGTCTTCAGTGTAAATACCGGTACATAATTTGGATAAACGTTTGAATTGTAATGGCATTTACATGGTTTAACTGACACTTTTTACAAACTGTATAAAGACGTATTTCCCCTAATGAACATCCCCATTTTGAATCTGCTTAATTTGTCTCTAATGAGTGATTATGTAATTTAAGGTTGCTGTAACTAAACCTTTACTTAAGGAACCCAATCTTGATTCAGGAATTCCAGCAAGTTATAGACCTATATCTAATCTTACTTTCATCTCGAAAATTCTAGAGAAAATAGTTGCAAATCATTTGTGCGAACATCTGAACAGAAATAATCTGTTTGAGGAGTTTCAGTCAGGGATTAGAGCTCATTGTAGCACAGAAACAGCACTGGTGAAAGTTACTTATGATATTCTCATGGACTCAGACAATGGACAGGTGTCTATACTGGTCCTGTTAGACCTCAGTGCTGCATTTGATACAGTCGATCACAATATTCTACAGAGGCTTGAATAAGATATTGGGATTACAGGAACAACTCTAAATTGGTTTCATACACAGACCAGTAAGATTAGAGATACCTAAATGCCATTGTCACACACACACCCCACCCCCTCTGCGGAATGTCTACGTCACCATGTGCAGCATGTGCGGGGTGTTTTTTCATTATCAAACTCTTTCTTCTCAGCCAAGAAGAAAGAGTTTGATAGGATTTTTTTTTGTGCCTCCAATTCCTACGTGTCCAGTTTCACTACTTCTTTGGTCTGTCTAAACAGGTCTCACTTGTAAATGAGTCTTCGATGCTCAATATGATTTATCTGTCTAAATAAAGGTTGAATTGAATTGAAAAAAAAATCTGTTCTTCAGACCCAACTTTTTGATTCGGGTTTGAGATCCAATACAGCTCAGAAAGAAAAATAAAATATGATTGAAAGTGTTTTGGGGGGGGGATTTAGTTCAGATTTGTTGAGGTTTTGGTGATTTTGGTTGTAAGGCTCAGATTATTTAGCTAATGATATTTTGTTGTCTTTGGTAAAGGTATTGAAATATTAGGGCCACCCATTAGGTGAAGGAAAATGTCATCTTTGTGTTGTGGCAATAACACTTTCTATTTAAAAAATCTATTTTTTATGTAGTTTATTTATGTAGTTTGTTCTATGGACAATGGGATTGCCCACAAGATTTATAGCTAAAGACGAGAACAGGGCCAATCTTCAGTGGTGGACCACTGGTCAACAAAATGTTTGACCATTTAAGTCTGTTAGCTTAAGTCTAAGGTTAACTACTGTTATTCAGTGTTTAATGATGCCTTTATACTGGGTTCTGAGATGTTCATGCACACATATTCTAGTTTAATGTCAAAATGTCAGCATCTGATATCGTTACCCAGAAAGGTGGTTTATCAATTAAACAATAAACATTTAGAAACTATGAACCAAGCCCTGACAAACAGTTATGTAAACTATCCTGATGCATGCTCAATAATCCAGGTAGAAAAATCAAAAAAAGTTAAATCTGGTCCTCAGGACATTCAAAAAAAAAAAAAAAAAAAAGCAAATCAGATGAGAGACGAAACGTTTCTACATTTTTTTGTTGATTTGCTTTGTTTTTTTTTTTTGAATGTCCAGAGGACCAGATTTAACTTTTTTAGAGTTATGTAAACTGTTACTGAGAGGTACAGCCCATCATTGCAGGAAGATTTAAATACAAAGCTTTGTGAATATAAAAACTGTGAGGACAGATGACTTTTCATGACCTCATATTACGTCTGAAATCACAGATGGTTCAGGAAAAGTGAACGGTTGTGTTATATTTGAGCACTTGAGTGGTCTTCACTTCAAACATCTAAATGTTCTTAAAAAGGTATTTTCCCGTTCTCCCAGATATAAATCACACTCCATTCTCACACAGCGGTCAGGGTTCATGTGGCAGCACTTAATGGGGGTTAGGGGTTAATACCTGACATTTATCCCATTATAGGGTTAGGGTAACGTTTTCTGTTGATCTTCACTCGTAAATATCTCAAAGATAAATCTCCAAAACCTTCCCTCAGTTTTTGTTGAACAGGTTGAAGCTCTGCTGAGGTTGGAGGTTGAGACAGCAGTTAAAAGGAAGGTGGGGGTCTTACTATCAACATTCTAGGATCTCTGGAAACACTGTCTTTACCCATTCAAACAAAGTGTTCTGCCTCTTCATCCTTGAATCAAAAATAAACACACACCAACACAAGACTTCCTCGCAGTAGCAAGAAAAAGAAAAGAACGTGAGTAAAGCTTAGTAAGGGAGTGTTTTGTATTAATCTGTAGGAACCAGATGCCCCTGTCGAGTTCCTTTCAGCAACTTCATTAATTACACCCCGTCTAATAACAGCTTTGTGTGTGTCCCACTGGAACGTATGGGTATCACTGATTGCAATAGCCGTAGGTATTCAAAAACAGGGAAGGGTCTGTGTCACCCAGGAAACTGTAAGACTGGTGATTCAACATGATGCCATTTGAGCGTTTATTTCAAAACAGATCATCCTTTTCAGAGCATTTGTTCATTAAGATGTATCAGAAGAACGTTATCATCCACAGTATCTGAAGGAAGATGAAGCTGATTGGTACCTGTGGATCGATTGATCCATCCAGCCAGCCAGCCAACATCTTGTTCTGGAGTCAGGTCTTGGGTGCAGCAGTTTGAGCAGGGTGGTCCAGATATCTCTTTCACATCCACCTCTTCCAGATCTGTTGGGAGGACTCCAAAGTCTTCCCAGACCAACCGAGAGACATAGTCTCTCACGTCCTGGGTCTTTCCTCATCCTAGTTGGACATGCCTGGAAAATCTCGTTAGGGAGGTATCCAGTGTCCATCTTTACCAGATGCCTGAAACACCTCAACTGGCTCCTCTGGATGTGGAGGAGCAGTAGCTCTACTCTGAGTCCCACCTAGATAACTGAACTTATCACCCTATTTCTAAGGGAGAGTCCAGCTACCCTGCGGTGCTTGGATCCACAATCTCATTCTTTCAGTCACTATCCAGAGCTCATGACCACAGGTGAGTGTAGAAACCCAGACCAACCAGTAACCAGTAAACAGAAAGCTTCCCCTTGCAGCTCAGCTCCCTCTTGATCACAACAGACCGTAACAGAGTCCACAATACTGCAGAAGCTGTCCTGATCCATCTGTTGATCTCATGCTCCATTCTTCCCTCATTCTGAACAAAACCCCAAGATAGTTGACTTCTTCCATTTGAGGCAGAACCTCACTCCCAACCTGGGAAGGACAATCCATTTGACTTTAACTTTACTAACTTTGTAAACTTCATTGTCATTCAAAATTGCACATGCAATACCATCCAGTCATCCATCCATCCATTATCTTTACCCGCGCTTCTTCCTTTTCGAGTCACGGGGGTCACTAGTGCCCATGTCCAGCCATCACTGTGCAAGAGGTGGGGGACACCCTGGACTGATTGCAAGTCCATTACATGGACACATATAGAGACAAACAAGACAAACAACCATTCACTCTCTCACTCACACATGGGACAAGAGTTACCAATAAGCCTAACATGCAATACCACAAAATTGAATAAACTTTTGTTTAGTTTCTCCACAGCCATGCATGAGTACATAATTTCCATGAATCCATCCTTTTCTATCTGAGGACCATGGCCTCAGATTTGGAAGTGGTGAGCCACATCCCAGTCGCTTCACACTTTGCTGTGAATTGCTCCAGTGAGAGCTGAAGATCATGGTACAATAAAACCAACAGGTACACATCATCTGCAAATAAGACATGGAATCTGAATGTACCAACAGGAAGAAAGTACAACAACGGTATAAAAGCTTACCAGCAGGGCAGTGGTTGGTTCTGTGTTCAGTGAGCTCAGCCAAACAGTCAAAGTCCTGCTGACAGTTGTCACAGGTGAAGATGGACTCATCATCCAGGTCATCATCATGATCTCTGTCGTCACGTTCATCTCCATCGTCCTCGTCTCCATCTTCAGCACCAGCTACCTGACCATCTTTCAGCTCCGCCTCTCTCTCAGGTGCAGAGACTTCTGAGAAAATACACAAGAAGGTGTTTTGTTTATTATCAACTGAAACTCACAAGACAATCGTTAACATCTAGTGACGCTGCAGGTTAGGGTTAAAATGCAGCTTTGCAGAAAAAAAAACAGTGACATTTACTGACTTCCCACTGACTGAATGCTGTTTGTACTTGTATACATGCTTACATGGTATGTTTTATCTGATTTATTCATCCAAAGGTAAGAGGTAATCCACCTGTAATTGGTAATTATACTGTGTCGGGATTATCACCTTAGCTTTTGACATGATGTGTGTGAATGTGTGTGTCCTGTTAGACAGAGTGTGAGAGGAGACCAGTGGAGGGTTGAGGTGGCCCAATCCTCTCCGCTCCATTGTGTCTCCATTTTCACACCTTATTATCACATTATAAACGCTGAAGATCCAAAAGGACCGACGGAGAGGAGGAGGAGGATGAGAAGAGAGATGAGGAGGAGGAAGCAGGGAGGATTTTACAACAAATGAAGTGGTTCTTTCTAACATGGAACATGCCGTTTTTTATAGAACTTGTACATTTTATTTCAGCTCAAATCAATTATCTGGTTTGCTTCTTGTTCCTCTTGTTGTTTTTAATTGACTGTGACCGTCATTCGTGGAAAAAGGTGTTTTAAAGTGATGTCTCCTGCTCAACATTAGGTTGTGCAGCTCCTCAGATGTATCGCCCATTGATAAAAAGCAACACAGAACCAGCTGAATGGCTTATTGAAGTCCTCGGATTGGTTTAGTCAGGATTATTTAGGCAGGATTTATCACTCTTTGTTGCCAATACACCGTTTGTAGACACATATTAAATGTCAGATTTTTATACAAAAGTGCTTATATATTTCATGCATGTGGGTCATTTGATGTAAAGCACATTTTAAAAGCCAGTAGTGGGACCTGCAGTAACCTGCTTTTGACTGATGGAGTCGCCTGTGAGCACGAGGCCTGAGTACTCTGCTGTTTCTGGACCAAAATGTAGATCAAATTGAGATGATCATCTGTTTGTGTTTTGATTTGACAAAAATAAGAGATTAAGCTTTTTATTGTATTTTCATTATTATTTTTAAATTTCTCAAACTGGACTTTGCATTAAAACATGAAGTTATTTTAATTTCACTACATTCAAAATGATGTTTTTAACCCCTAATTTCCCAGGTAGGTGAGTCTGACCAGCAGTGCCAAAATACCTTGAAGTAAATGTGTTTGAATGACTTAATAGGAAACTTTATATGAAAGTGCACAGCTCTGAAGTGAATCCAGAAAGACTCATGCACACAGAGCTGCAGCCTCGCTCCGAGTAGCTTAAGAAGCTGTGCGCTGAAATGAAAATCAAAACCTATGTGTTGTCCTGAAAAATCTGTTAAATGTTCAGATATTTTGGTCATTATTCATTTATGATAGATTATATTGGACACACGTCCAACAGGTGTGAGTGAATCTGATGTGGTCGGACTCTGCGTCACCGATACGATAAACGCGGCGCATGGAACTCTATTAATACTGTTCCTATTTTTATTATTGTCTTCCGTCAATAAAAGTTATACTGCAGCCCAAACTGCCAGGAGTATTAAGATATTTACATGATAGTAACTTCGGCCTGCATGCGGCAGATAAGAACACTAAGACATGTCCACCTATAGGGGGCGCTCTAATGGTGAACTTTGTTTGAACCACTTTAGCTATGACTGCTTCAGAGGAGTCGACAGGGGAGAGGGCGGACTCCAGAAATCATCTTATCACCATAAAACTGGTTGGCCCACTATGTGAGTAAGCCATAGGCGTCGCAACCATTATATGTGAAGGGGACAAGTCCCCCCCACATTACGGATGCTTCTGACGCCCTTGGAGTAAGCCACTTATGGGACTTAGTTTGTTGAGCCTCCTCAGACTGATGAAGTCATTTGGATGAAAGACAAAACGTGTAAATAAAAGGAAACCATCCAGAGGACCTTACTTAACTTTGGTAAATGCTGGTGGGTTAGTTTAAATGTGTCCAATCTCTTTAAAATTTGGCTGAAATGTTTATCCAGGTTGTTTTGATTAAAACAATGTTTTTGTTTGAAAAATCAATTGATGGCATGTTTTGTATTTAATTTTATTTAATGCTCTACAATCAATATATTTTTTTCTTTTGGAAAAAAAAAAAAAAAAGAGAGATGGGGAAAAAATGTATAGAAAGCACAGCCAGTCATTGTAAATATTTTTTTAAAATTTGCGAGAAAACAATCTGGCAAATTTTGGTGAATTTTTATAATTTTAAGGCCCACAGAGTCAAACAACCTTCAAAGGTACTGAAGTCCTCCTCTGGTTTAAAATCCCCTCCTCACCACACACGTATGCACAAATCCACCAAACCTTCTACAGTTCAGGTTGTGTTTGAATACAATCCCCACCTCCACCATAATTTCACTGTATCCCGGTACAATGATAATAAAGCTTATTCTGAGTCTGACCTCCACCTCCGCCCACCCTTCCTTGATGACATCACAGTCCCAGCTCTCAGTAACTGGGCTGCATTAGAAGTGAGCATGTAGCAAACTTTCTTTTTACAGTTTCTGCTAACGTTGGAGTACAGACATGACAGAGACAACGGCTTACTAAAGCTACAGATCAATAATCCTTGCAAGCATAAAACCAACTATAACTCAGTTAATATGAAAGATAGTAAGCTAAAACTTGATGCAGTAATAACTCAGCAACTTTACAGCACATTCAGCACCAACAGATCATAGTTTTTTATGTTTACCTCTGTTGGTGACGACTGCGTTTATTTTCTACAGGAACCATCTTGAATGGGATAGACCACAAAAGTTACCTACAAGTTTGTTACAAATGTCAGTTGTCGGGGCGGCTGTGGCTGAGTGGTTAGAGCAGTCGTTCTCCAATGCAAGAGTCGGGGGTTCAATTCCACAAGCAGTCAAATGCCGACGTGACCGTGGGCAAGACACTGAACCCCTCAATGCCTCAGATGTGTGTTCCATCGGTGTATGAATATAATAAAGCACTGATTATTCTTTGTATAGATATAGTAGAGTGCTGTATGAATGGGTAAATGAGGGCACAGATTGTTGAGTAAAGAGCTTTGAGTATCTTGATAAGATAAGAGAGGCGCTATATAAGTACAGTCCCTTTACCATTTACTACATTTACTGAGCAGAATTTGCAATCTGCTTTATTTTTACTCCATTGTCATGGCTGACATTAATTGGACTGCTCAGCTGAGAGAACATCACACTGACAATATCGTATCGTGTGAGGCTTACTTCAGGTGTATCATTGCTAGCTGGAAACTTTACCCAGTACCCAGTTGAATGAGTAACTCAGTTGAACGAGTACCCTGCCTTGGTGAGTTGAAGTATGAGAATGGGTAAAGGCAAGCAGTGTCAAACTGATACTGGTTATCTGTGTTGGTGCATCCCTAGTAGACACGTCCAAGTTTTCTCCAAATATTAAAAACCAAACCAGGACCATTACGGTTCACAAATATTTCCAATGTTTGTCCATATTTGTTTAAAAAAAAACTAATAAAATAAAAAAAAACCTGAGATTCAAGGAATGAATGTGAGACAGAACAAAGTGAAACTTTGTTTCAGTCTGGTTTATGAGGAGCAGTACATTAGGAGGGAGGGATTCTGGGAGGTAGGGAATGAGGAGCTGAGGTGAGTGGTGGGGTGGGGGAGGTGGAGGGAGAGAGAGGAGGATGGATGAAGGCTTGAAGAAGCTGAGAAGGAGGGTGTTGACCATCTGTCCAGTGGTGAGAGCTCCGTCTGGCCAGGGAGAGAAAGAAACCCCCTGACTGAAAAAACATACACACTCGTGCACTCTCACACACACACACACACACACACACACCAGCAGACCATGTGCGCACACACACACACATTATTGTAAACGCACACACACAGATGTAAATACAGATATAATGTTTGACAGAACAACATTTGTGACTAATATTTCAGTCATTTAAAAAAAAAACTATTTTTTAACCTGCAACAACTTATTTTAAAAATTATGAAAAACATGTATGTGTAAAAAAAACAGTAAAATATGTCAATAAATGTATTTAATGTCTCTTATTTTTCTACATTTTGGATGCAAAGCATCACAAGCCCTGATGCCAGAGGTGAGGGCAGTGCCAGCTCCATCGCATGCCAACACAACCTGCTGTCATGGCAACAGAGAGAAGAGACGGACGGAAGCTCTCCATCTTACCCTCCTGAGCACCAAACTCTCCCTTCTTTTCTCCATTTGTTTTTAATCCACTCATCCCTTCATTTACGCTTCATCCTTCTAATCACCACACGGACGGATGAAGACACGAACCAGTCGGAGCAGGAAGCTCACACAGCTCCGTACAGAGCCCTGCTGCACACCCACCTCTCAGCTGGTCCTGCTGTGGTGGCTGTGATCATTCCTGCTCACAAACAGACCTCCTGGATGAGCCTGGCTCAGCGGCAGGGACAAAGGTTGGCACTTTGGTGTTGTGATGGGTTAAAGGAGGACCCTGTACAAACTCGATACCAAGTCCTCAATCACATCAGACAAGTCCTCCTTCACACCAAACAACTGTATTTAGAGCTGAACTCGGTGGTGGATGTGCATGCATGTAGTGCATCAGTGCATGTTTGTGTGTCCTCCAGGTAATTAGATAAAGAGAAGTGAATTAGCAGAATCCACGGTGCAGAATGATGTTCCACGGCCTAACCACGCCTCGCTGGGAGCCACTAATCACCACCAGTACATGCGGATGCTCCTGCGCTTATGTCTTTATTAGAGTGAACTGTGTGTGTTACTCACATTACCACATGAAGAATCCGTTCATTGAGGTAATTAGTGAGTTAAGTACTAATAAACTGTAAGCACAGCAGATATCAGAGGGAAAACATACAGTGGTTTGTCTCAAGCAACCTCACATAACTGGTAAATAAAAACTAAAAATGCACACACGCACACAGAGCTGCTGTCAAGTAGTCCAGACACAAACTAGAAC